CTTCAATCTCTTCTTTTGTAATGAGTCTGTTTTAATTTTCTACCCTTTTGTGTTAGTTTGGGTAGGTAGTGTATTTCTAGGAATTTATCAGTTTCATCTAGGTTTTCAAATTTGTTGCAGTACAATTCTTCATAGTTATGATCTTTAACTCTGTTGGATGGGTTGTAACGTCACCAATTTCATTTCTTACTTTTGGTTATTTGCCTCTTCTGGTTTTTTTGTCGGTCTAGCCAGTGGTTTGTCTGTTTTATTGGTCCTTTCAAAGAACCAACTTCTGGTTTTACCGATTCTTCCTATTATTTTTCTATTTCATTTGTTTCTGCCCTGATCTTTATTACTTTCTGTTTACTGGTAGTTTCTGGCTTCTTTTGCTCTTCCTTTTCTCTTTGTTCATGATGATTTTGGATCTTTCTTCTTTTTTAAGGTATTCATTTATTGCTATGAATTTCCCTCTGAGTACTGCTTTTGCTGTGTCCCAAAGGTTTTGATATGTTGTGTTTTCATTTCTGTTTGATTCTAGGAATATTTAATCTCATTTTTTATTTCTCCTATGACCCAATAGTTTGCCAGTAGTATATTACTTGGTTATCATATATTTATTTATTCTCCTATTTTTCCTGTTGTTGATTTCTAGCTTCATACTGTTATGGTCAGAGAAGATGCTTTGTATGACTTCAGTCTTTTTAAATTTGTTGAGACTTGTTTTATGCCCTAGCATATGGCCTATTCTGGTAAATGATTCATGTGTGCTGGTGACAAATGTGTGCTGTTCTGATGCTAGGTTAAATGTTCTATATATGTCCATTAGCTCTAACTGGCTTACAGTTCTATTTAAATTCACAATGTCTTTAGTGATCTTCTTTTAGACACTCTCTCTATAACTGAAAGTGGTATGTTGAAGTCCCCTACTATTATTGTGGAGTTGTCCATTTCTCTTTTCATATTAGTAATTGTTTCATGTATTTTGATGCATTACTATTAGGTAGATATACATTGATTATTGTTATGTCTTCTTGCTGTACTGACCCTTTTATTATTATGTAATGTCCTTCTTTATCTCTTGTAATAAATTTTGATTTAAAGTCTATTTTATCTGTTACCAGTATGGCCATCCCTGCTTTTTTGTTGTTGTTGTTGTTTAATGGTTGCTTGGTGTATTTTTCTCCATCCTTGTATTTTCAGTCTGTTTGTGTCCTTATGTCTAAGCTGCATTTCTTGTAGACAGCAAAAGGATAGATTATGTTTTTTTTTAATCCATTTTGCCACTCTCTACCTTTTCCATGGGGCATTTAGACACTTTACCTTTAAGGTTATTACTGAAAATGAAGTGTCTACCTTATTGATTTTTGCTATTTGTTTTTTTGAGTGTTTTTAATTTTTTTTTTCCCTGATTTTTTTCTGTTTCTGTTTGTATCTGGCTGCCTTCTTGTGATGAGCCTTTTTGTTTTCTTCCTTCTTTTCTTCCAAATGTTTTTTCTTGGTGATTTCTTAGTGATTAGCACATGTATTACACCACTTACTATTGCAACAATGTTTAATATATGAACAACAATTAACATACAACCTTAACATAATAAATCTATTCTTGATATGCTCCTCCCTCCTCAATTTCTGTCGGTGTATTCCCATTAATATCAATATAAAACCTATATTCAATAAGTTTACTTTGCGTTTATTTCTCACAAACTTGATGTATGGTTTGTGGGATTTAATTATTCAGTTTATTCTCCAAAAATATCATATACTTGGTCCTTATAATTGCCTGTGTTGTTGCATTTTTTAGAGATCTCTCTCTCTCTGTCTCTCTTGTTTTTTATTTATTGTTTTCCCTAAGTATAGACATTTTATTTAATGATCTTGCCTTTCCATTTAGAGTGCTCCCTTGAGTAATACTTGCAAAACTGGTCTAGTAATGGCAAATTCCCAGAGCTTCTGTTTGTTTGGAAATTTCTTGATTTCCCCCTCATTTGTGAATGACAACTTTGCTGGGTAAAGGATTCTTGGTTGGCAATTGCTTTCGTTCAGTATTTTATATATGTCACTTCATTGTCTTCTGGCCTCTAGAGTTTCTGGGGAGAAATCTGCACTGATTCTTATGAAAGACCCTTGGTATGTTATATCGCATTTTTCTCTTGCTGCTTTCAGAATTCTGTCTTTGATTTTCAAGAATTTTATTAGGATATGACATGGAGTTTATCTTTTTTGTGTCTCCTCTGATTGGGGTTCATGTTGTTGTTGGTGGTGTTAGGTACTGTTGAGTTGGCTCTCACTCATAGCGACCCTATGTACAAGAGAAAGAAACACTGCCTGGTCCTGTGCCATCCTCACAATCGTTGTTATGCTTGAGCCCATTGTTGCAGCCACTTTGTCAGCACATCTCATTGAGGGTCTTCCTCTTTTTCACTGACCATCTACTTTACCAAGCGTGATGTCCTTCTCCAGGGACTGGTCCCTCCTGATAACATCTCCAAAGAATGTGAGACAAAGTCTCGCCATCCTTGCTTCCAAGGAGCATTCTGGCTGTACTTCTTCCAAGATAGATTTGTTCAGTCTTCTGGCAGTCCATGATATATTCAATACTCTTTGTCAACACTATAATTCAAAGGCATCCATTCTTCTTCGGTCTTCCTTATTCATTGTCCAGCTTTTGCATTCATATGAGGCAACTGAAAATACTATGGTTTAGGTCAGGCGCACCTTAGTCTTCAAGGTGACATCTTTTGCTTTTTAACACTTTAAAGAGGTCTTTTGCAGCTGATTTGCCCAATGCAAAACGTCATTTGACTTCTTGACTACTGCTTCCATGGGTGTTGAGTATGGATCAAGTAAAATGAAATCCTTGACAACTTCAATCTTTTCTCCATTTATCATCATGTTGCTTATTGGTCCATTTGTGAGGATTTTTGTTTTCTTTATGTTGACGTATAATCCATAATGAAGGCTGTGGTCTTTGATCTTCATCAGTAAGTGCTTCAAGTCCTCTTCACTTTCAGCAAGCAAGGTTATGTCATCTGCATATCACAGGTTGTTAATGAGTCTACCTCCAATCCTGATGCCATGTACTTCATGTAGTCCAGTTTCTTGGATTGTTTTTCAGCATTCAGATAGAATAAGTATGGTGAAAGGATACAACCCTGTTGGGCTTTGTGTAGCTTACTGTATTTGTAGGCTTAGTTCTCTATTCAGGTCAGGGAAATTCTGACTATCTCTTGGAAAGTTGTTCCTATGCCTTTATCATTGTCATGGTGCTCTGGGATTCTAATAATTCTAACGTTAGATTTCTTAATTGAATCCCTTATTTCCTTTTGGAGTTGTTTACTTTTCTTTGTTCTTTTCTCTTGTTTCTCTTGAGACTTGACAAGTTATTTTGTCTTCTAGTTCAATTATACTATCTTCTGTCTGTTTAACCCTATTGTTGAGTGTTTCTCTCGCTTTTTCTAATCAGTTGCTTTATTCTTCAGTTCCAGTAGTTTTCAATTTCCTTGCTGAGTGTCCTTGTTGGTACCTCCATTTGTTTCCTGATCACCACTACTTTGTTTTCTATATGTTTTATACTTTCTTTAAACATATTTAGCACCATACTCAGAAAATTATCAATTTGTTGCATTAGTATGGCCTCCGTAGGAGAAACTTCTTCTTCATGTTTTACTTTTGATTGGTCCTTCTTCTCTTGTGATTTTGTGTTCTACTATTCTCAGTTCAACTTAGCCATTTTTTATCTTTTTTTTTTCTTTACTTTAAATTTTTTATTCTGGTTTTTGTGGGAAAATTTTCTGATTCAGCACCTTGGTATCACAGCAGTCAAGCGCCCGGCTGCCAACCAAAAAGCTGAGGCCCGCACTCACCAGCTGCTATGTGGGAGAAAGATGTGGCAGCTTGCCTCCACAAATACAGCCTTGGGAATCCCATGGGGCTGCTCCACTCCCCCCCATAAATTCTCTATAAGTCAGAATCAAACCAGCAGCAGTGAGCTTGCTATCTACTCCTGAGAACCACTAGACAGCACTCTTATACTAAGGTTTTTTCCAGTGCTGACTCAGCAGTTCTAGATGCTTGACCTCTGGAATTCAATATATATGCACAGGAGGCTGGGGTTATCTGGTCGCAGACATGATGTAAGCAGCGGGGCTAAACTTTCCTGTGGCAAAGGTGAGGGGCTCTCTGTGCCTTTTCCTCACAGGCATCCCTGCACAGGCTCTCCCATGGTGTCCCACTGAAGGCAGGGAGCCAGCTGCTTCCCTTTGTGTCGCCTGTCAGTTTAAAGTATTCTCCTCACCCTGCTGCCCTTGCATTTCCTCCCAGTCCTAGTGCCTGTCTGTCTCAGGTATCAGCAAGATTCAACAGTAATTCCTCACAATGCCACAGTCTCCCTTCGCCCTCTCCCAATTGAGCAGCCCGCAAACACCCACAGTCAATCTGTGCTGTCTTAAAAAACAGCTTCCGCGTATCAGCTCCCTCTCTGTGTTCCCTGTTTGGGATGTTTCCCAGCTCCGTCCCAAAATGGCTGCAATGAGCAATGCTCCCAATGTTAGTGGGTAAGCTCTCCCAGCTTCTGTGCTGTCCCCTCTCCTCCTCTCCCTTGCTTCTAGACTTATTTTGACTCTCCAACACCTCAGCTGCTGTCTAGAGTTCTGAGATCTCAGTCTGTGCTTGTTTTTATTTCTTCTTCAGTGAGTTAGCTGCTGGAGAAGTAAATGGGAGCATCCATTCACTTTGCCATCTTGCTCCGTCACTCCCAAGGCTGTAATCTTTACAGAAGCCAACTGCCACATCTTTTTCCCACAGAGTGGCTGGTGGGCTCAAACCACTGACCTTTCAGTTAGCAACTGAGCACTTAACCATTGCACCACCAGGGCTCCTTTCTACTCTTAGGTACCCTGATTTAATTGATAAAGATCCTTTCTTTATGTCATTAAAACACGTCGATAAAATAAATACTAAAAAACACCAATTTTTAGCATAAACTCTAGCTTATAAATTATTTTAAACTGGATACTTACTACATCAAACTTCTGAGTGATGTTCCCCTGGACATCAAGTAAATAAACCTTGCCATAATGTGTGCCCAATGCCAAAAACTGAAAGAAAAACAGGGGGACCAGAATATTAATACAGCATTAATACATAATTAGTAGTAACACTAGTTTCAAAGTCAAGATGCTAAATGTGTGAATGATTTGTAACGTCTTAGAAGGCGCACGTTCTTTGGAGAAGACTTGTTCCTAGCTTTGCTGAAACAGAACAGTGCCAGAAGCCTATTTTATTGTGATAATGCAAGCTGGCTGTCAGAATGACTCATGAGGACCCTCATCTACTGACAACTAATAGTGGATATGCAGTCTGTACACAATGCCCGATGGACTGAGGCAGTAAATTAAAAATGCAGCTGTGAAAGCACCACCAACGTACAGCTGAACTCAAAGTCAGAAGGGAATGATTAAGAAACTCCCCCTAATTTATGGCAAAAATGTGTAAATCTGTGCTATCATTTATATATTGCACACATGCACACACAAACAACAATATTATTTTCTAGAATGGAAAGTCCATGGCATATTGAGGAATGAAAAATCTCAGAGGTACTTAAGTTAGCTTTAAAATGCTTTTATAAAAGTTAATTTATAATAATATTGAATGAAAATGTTTATATACTAATGCAAAAATATTTATTCCTGGCACAAAATAACTGCTGAGCTATACATTCCTTTTATGCTAAAAAATAGGTTCATAACTCCCACTGTTTCTTTAATTCTTTGTGCTTACCCTAAACAAACCAGAAGAAACTTTAGAGCTATCTGAAATGTGACATGAGATTTTTCTTCTTTTTTTTTTTTTAAGTTTGATAATTACTCAGATAGTCCCAAATTCTCTGTATTTCACTGCATGTGAGCATGCTTCATTGCAACCTATAATGAAATGCTCAAATTTACAGGCACTACTAAGCATTTCAGTCAAGCAGTGAAATCTTTAAAAAATAACCTTATAGAAAGCCAAGATTTAAAAGGATTTATCAAAATGGAATTGCTAAAAATGAAATTTCAGTGCATGCACTTAAAATATGTAGCCACATTAAAGAAGAGTCACAAACAGGGAAAGAAGGGGTTCATTACAAATTCATCCCCTGCAATGCCTTTCACTCCTGCAAGGTTGCCTTTTTTCAGGAAGGAAAAAGTCCCCTGGGTAAAAAATCAATACTGGTTAATAAAACATTAGGTGTGCAGACATAACTAGGTATGACGATTCCACTGCACAGGCCTGCTTGAGTACACCAGGTGCCATGATGATTAGTCATCCAGGGTAGACAGTAAGCCTGGTGGAAGCAGGAGGCTTCAGCACTGGGAGGAGAAAGGGAAAAGGTAATTCTGGGGGGAAATTAGTCTGAATATTTAAACCAAACAGGAATGTTTCCACCAAAAGGGGGAAAAAAAGGCATTCTAATCAGAAATAGAAGACTCAAATGGTTAAAATTTTTCTCCAGAGTGACATTCTGACAATATTTAAATAGAAAAATTCCACATAATACTAACTAAAAACAAACAATGCTCTACTTTGTTCTGAGGCTATCTCTGTAAAAGAATGGGTCTTTAAAACTCGCTGCACCCACAAGTATCCAACAGTATTGATTTTCCTCATAAATACTGTATTTAGTATGTTAGAAGACTAAAGGAGCACAGACTCTTAAAATGGCTTTAATACCGTGTCATTCTCCAACACCTCTGGAAAGGTCATTTTTTAACTTATTATTCCAATTTATTTTATGGACGTTTTAAAAGTTTTATGCAAGGAACTTTACCCAAATTCATTTCCTTTTTTTTTTTTTGGTCAAATTATCAGTTTTATTCATTTAATATTTAAGATAGAAAGGAAATATACAATTATTATTTTGATTTTATGAAGTTTCAGCCTATAACTACATTGCTTTAGACGAGTTTTGAAAAAAAAAAAGTTCAGTAAAAAATTTCATTTAATTATTGCTACTCTCTTTTAGAAATAACATTATGTGCTCTTCAAAAAAAAATCATAGTCCCTAAAAATTTATTTAACTACTAAAATTATGGATGAGTCAGTCATACTTTCATTTGCTAATGTTCTGATGACTTAAAACAAAATTTTTTAAAAAGCCGCAAATGCGACAGAGCATAAATGCAACTCCTTTAAATCCGAATCTACTTCTAGCCATTAAAGCTAGAGCTTTTGTAACTGTTGAATATTTTGTTTTTAAGCATGGAAGCACTTAAAATTCAGAATGGTCAAAGAATAAGTATAATTTAATTAGCTCCCTTCATGTTTGATTATGAAAACTTGATTTGTTTTATAAATTATCAGATTAGGCACCCAATCAATCTCTCCAAATCATTCATCTCTCCAAATTGTTCACTAGCACAACTGATTTTACTCGAATGACTTTGTGTAAGTAAATAAGCAGAAGAGGTGATAAGCAGTCCTTTGAATACCACAAAAGAAATGAAAGGTAGTAGTTTTCAAATTTAGTCAGCTGTATTATATCATCTATCTTTCAAACAGGATTTACAGTATTCAAACATTAGAGCAGGAAGTCATCAATTACACATGAGGAAATAAGTTCCAGGAATTGATGTCACTTCCCTGGAAAGAGTCAATGAGTGGGAGAGCTAGGACCAGAATTAAGAGCCATAATACTCTCAACTGGATCACAATCTTCCTAAATAGAAACATGGACCTTAGATTAAGAGTGCATGTTCTACAAGTTACCTTGATTACCTTTGCAAACCATCAGGCTCTTCATCCAGCGCGGTTTAAGTATAGAGTTAATAAAGTTTGATCTCCAGGCAGGCCAACTTTGCTCTCCACTTCTAATCTTAACGCTTCCCTAACACACTTATGATTTAAAGAGTAAGTGATAGTTTTTCCAAAAACCACTTGCTATCAACCTTTCCCATCTATCATTGTCTAAATTCTACTTATTGTCTATATTCTACTTATTACACCCTTGGAGTGTGTTATGTGTGTGTGGGTATGTACACATATAACCCGTTGCTGTTTAGTCGATTCCAACTCACAGAAACCCTACAGGACAGAGGAGAACTGCCTCATAGTGTTTCCAAGGAGAGGCTGGTGGATTCGAACCGCCAACCTTTTGATTAGCAGTCAAGTTTTTAACCACTACCCCACCAGCGCTCCAAGTAAACATATAGGTAATATTTTAAGCTGTTAATTTGTTTTTTGTTGGTGAGGAAGAAGAGGAGGAGGGAAGCAAGGAGATACAATGACAGTTTAAAAAAAAAAAAAAAACACCACCAAAAGCAAAGTACAAACAAACTCAGAACACAAACCACTTACAGAGGAATACTCTCACAGTGCTACTTTACCTTGTCATGGACTGTCATGCAGCTAGCTGCATCCTTCTGAAGAATTTCAGTTACACCGTTGGAAAGCCTTTCATACTTCAGTTTAGGTTCCTCTTCACTCTCTTCCTCCTGCACAAAATGCAGAGATAATGACAGGCATCATACATTTACCTGAAATAGCCAAAGATGCAAATGCGCTTCTCAAGGGGGAACCAGAGATGGTTCCAGAGATGGTTCCCTCAATGATCTTGTTATTAACTACCGGTCACCATTAATTATGATCAACTCAACAGTAAGTAACAACAACAACATAGCTAAAGGTTAAGATCTTCACGTTTTGTTTTTCCAACTGGGTGTACCATCTACTACAATTTCACTGGTAGAATTAATTTAAAAGTTGAAAAGAGGAGTATACGTACTGTTAAAATGATCAACTTTGGCATGTTAGAGAAAATACAAAATTATCTGGCCCACCATGCAGACATATGCTCTTAAAAGGTACGTGGGCAAAATACTTGTCACTGTGAGACCTCATGGACATATACTCATAGCGGTGTCAGAAAAACAATGAACGTCCAAAAAACATAAATCTTGTATTTCAAGATTACAAATAATTTTGTCAGATTTGAGAAAATCTAATTAGAATTTTAATTAGAAAAATATAATTTAGAAAAATCAAAGTGCAAGAAAATTGGAGATTGTATACAAAGCAGAATGTATACTCACCCTTCCAATAAAAATGTGTCAATGTTTATTTTAAGTAACTGATAAGCCATATACAATCATTACTTATTTAATGCTAGGAAGTGTATTGTTTACTCTCATATAAACCTATTATTCATTAAAAATGTCTTAATCATTTTATATGTAGTATCAGTAACTTTATGTCACCCTCACAGTTTCATACAATATCATAAGACATTCTTAATCCTCATAGTTACGGAAAAAGTAATCAATATGGATTCTAGTTGTTGTTGTTGGTTGACTCCAACTCATGGGGACCCCACATAAAAAAGAGTGAAATTGATTCTAATGGTCATGAATTAATAGATCAAGTGTAGTTGTAAAATTACAATGATGATTCATAAGAAGATTTTATTACATCAATAAGTAATAAGTAAAGAAAAAAAACTGTATATATGGAAAGCTGTGATAAGATAAAGTAGCCAAACAGAAGGTCACAAAAATAATCTTTTCATTGACATTTCCTTCCAAAATAATCGTATAGTTTCTACCTTCCAGCTAACACTACGGCAGCTTGAGGCATATCAATGCTCCTGCCCAAAACAACTAGAAAGACTTGGAGAAATATACAGTATCATCTGTCTAAAGGCATCAAAGAGCTGCTGAGAAAACGAGAGCTAGAAAGACCAAGATCCAGGGTAGTAGAGATATCAAGAAGAGGAGAGCTGGCATTCTGTAGCCACTTTCTCCCTGGAGGCATTTACCAACTCTGGGTGCCGGGCAAGAGGCTGGGAATCCAAGCTGTGGCTGAATAAGAGGACACTGCTGGAGGGCAGAGAAAACAGGAAACCTTTTGGTGCTTGTAAGGATGGAGCAACAAAACTGGAGACTTGAGGGGCCAACATCCCAGTGGAAGACAGAGGCACAAAAGTGAGCCCGTTAAAGTCAGTTTTCCTTGTAAAACACTGAAAATTTCTAAAGCTACATGAGGTGTGGGGCTAAGAAGCTAAATGGAAAGCCCCCAAAACCAGATCAGCTGTCTTGATGTGCTGATAAGGATTAGAGTTCAGGAGTCATCCGAAAATGGGGTGCTAAAGAATATGAAAAGCTCTGAACTGGAATTCCTAGTTGCCAGAGAACTCAACCAAAATCAAACTCACTGATGTCAATTTCAACTTATAGCCACCCTTATAGGACAGCAGAACTGCCCTATGGGGTTTCCAAGGTTGTAAATCTTTTTTTTTTTTTTTTTTAATTTTACTATGCTTTAGGTGAAAGTTTACAGCTCAAGTGGTAGTTTCTTATTCAAAAATTTATACATATACTATTTTGTGACATTGATTGCAATCCTAAGAACGTAACAGCACTCTCCGCCTTTCCACCCTGGGTTCCTGGTGTCCATTCATCTAGTTCATGCCCCTTCCCGCATTCTCATTTTGCTCTTGAGCAGAACTTGCCCATTTGGGCTCATATATTTGATTGAACTAACAAGCACGTTCCTCACGTGTGTTACTGTTTGTTTTATAAGCCTTTCTAATCTTTGTCTGAAAAGTGGGCTTTGGGAATGATTTCAGTTCTGAGTTAGCAGAGCGTCCGAGGGCTATAGTCTCTGGGGTTCCTCAGTCTCTGTCAGACCAGTAAGTCTGGTCTTTTTTAGTGAATTTGAATTTTGTTCTACATTTTTCTTCTACTCTGTCTGGGACTCTCTGTTGTGATCCCTGTCAGAGCAGTTGGTGGTGGTAGCCGGGTGCAATCTAGTTATTCTGGGCTCAGGATGGTGGAGGCTCTGGTTCATGTGGTCCTTTATTTCTTGGGCTAATATTTTCCTTGTATCTTTGGTTTTCTTCATGTTCCTTTACTCAGGACAGGATGGGACCAATAGCTGTAACTCAGCCGCTCACAAGCTCTGAAGACACCAGAGGCTACTCAACAAAGTAGGATGTAGAACATTTTTCTTTAGGAACAATGTTATGTCAATTTACCTAGATGTCCCCCAAGACTATGGTCCCCAGGCCCCAGTCCCTGCAACTCAGTCTTTCAAATTGTTTGGATATGTCTAAGAAACTTCTATGACTTTGCATTGGTCAACTTGTGCTGCCCTCCCCTATACTGTGTATTGTCTTTCCCTTCGCCAGAGTTGACCCTTGTCTACTATCTAGTTAGTGATTTCCCTTCCCCATCCCTTCTCACCCTCATAACCACCAAAGAATGTTTTTTTGTGTGTGTAAACCTTTTCCTCAGTTCTTATAATAATGGTCTCATACAATATTTGTCCTTTTGTGATTTGCTTTATTTCACTCAGCGTAATACCCTCCAAATTCATCCATGCTGTGAGATGTCTCATGGATTAATCACTGTTCTTTACCATTGTGCAGTATTCCATTATGTGTATGTACCCTAATTTGTTTATCCATTCATCTGCTAATGGCCACTTAGGTTATTTCCATCTTTTTGCTACTGTGAACAGTGCTGCAAGGACTGCAAGGACATATGTCTATTCCTGTGATGGCTCTTATTTCTCTAGGATATATTTCTAGGAGTGGGATTGCTGGATTGTATGGTATTTCTATTTCTAGCTTTTTAAGGAGGTGCCATATTGTTTTCCATAGTGGTTGTACCATTTTACATTTCCACCAGCAATGCATAAGACTTCAAGTCTCTCCTCAAGCTCTCCAACATGTATTATTTTCTGGGTTGTTTTTTTTTTTTTTTGGATTAGCACCGATATTGTCAGGACGGGATGGTATCTTATTGTAGTTTCGATTTGCATTTCTCTAACGGCTAATGGGAAACCCTGGTGGTGTAGTGGTTAAGTGCTATGGCTGCTAACCAAAAGGTCAGTAGTTCGAATCCACCAGCCACTCACTGGAAACGCTATGTGGCAGTTCTACTCTCTCCTATAGGGTCGCTATGAGTCAGAAGCGACTTGACAGCAACGGATTTGGGGTTTTGTTTGGTTAATGGCTAATGATCACGAGCATTTCCTCATGAGTCTGTTAGCCACTTGAATGTCTTCTTTGGTAAAGTATCTGTTCATATCCTTTGCCCATTGTTTAACTGGATTATTTGTTTTTTTGTTGTTGAGGTGTTGAAGTATTTTGTAGATTTTAGAAATGAGACCCTTGTCAGATATGTCATAGCCAAAAAATTTTTCCCCGTCTGTAGGTTCTGTTTTTACTCTTCTGGTGAAGTCTTTTGGTGAGCATAAGTGTTAAATTTTTAGGAGTGCTCAGTTATATAGTTTCTCTTCTGGTGTCTGTGCACTGTTAGTTACAGTTTGTATTGTATTTATGTATGTATTAGGGTCCCTAGCACCATCCCTAATTTTTCTTCCATGATCTTTACCATTTTAGGCTTTATACTTAGGTATTTGATCCATTTTGAGTTAGTTTTTGTGTATGGTGTGAGGTATGGATCTTGTTTCATTCTTTTACAGATGGACATCCAGTTATGCCAGCACCATTTGTTCAAGAGTCTGTCTTTTCCCTATCTAATGGATTTTGGCTCTCTGTCAAGTATCAGCTGCTCATAGGTGGATGGATTTATGTCTGGGTTCTCAATTCTGTTCGACTGGTCTATGTGTCTGTTGTTGTACCAGTACTAGGCTGTTTTCAATACTGTGACTGTATAATAGGTTCTAAAATCAGGTAGTGTGAGGTCTCCCAGTTTGTTCTTTTTCTTCAATAATGTTTTACTTATCTGGGGCCTCTTCCCTTTCCATCTAAAGTCGTTAAAGAATGCTGTTGAAATGTGGATCAGAACGGCATTATATCTCTAGATTGCTTTGGGTAGTATTGATATTTTCACAATGTTGAGTTTTCCTATCCATAAGCATGGTATGTTTTCCCATTATGTAGGTCTCTTTTGGTTTCCTGCAGTAATGTTTTGAATTTTTCTCTGTATAGGTCTTTTACACCCCTGGTTAGATATATTCCTAAGTATTTTATCTTTTGTGGGGGGGCTATTATAAATGGTATTGATTTGGTGATTTCCTTTTTGAAGTTCTCTTTGTTGGTATAGAGAAATCCAACTGATTTTTGTATGTTAATCTTATATCCTGCTATTTTGCTGAAATCTTCTATTAGTTCCTGTGGCTTTCTTGTGGAATCTTTGGGGTTTTCTATCTACGGGGTCATATCATCTGCAAATAGGGATAGTTTTACCTCTTCTCTACCAATCTGTATGCTCTTTATTTCTTTTTCTTGCCTTATTGTTCTAGCTAGGACTTCCAGCATGATGTTGAATAAGTGTGGTGATAAAGGACATCCTTGTCTGGTTCCCATTCTCAAGGGCAATGCTTTCAGTCTTTCTCCACTGAGAAAAATGTTGGCTGTTGGTTTTGGATAAATGCCCTTTATTATGCCGAGGAATTTCCTTTCTATTCCTATTTTGCTGAGAGTTTTTATCAGGAATGGGTGTTGGAATTTGTCAAATGCCTTTTCTGC